CCAGTAATATTTTTACTTTTCCTGTCAACTTAACATCTTTTAATACAAAAACACAGTGGATCCTCAGTGGAACCCAGTGGATCCTCAGTGGATCCTCAGAAGAGCTGAAATTCAGCTCTGCTCTCTATCCATCTCAGTTCTCACCACTGTGTGGAAGGTAGCAGCTGACCTCTGACCTCCTGACCCCTCTGTGTGTGCAGGCCCATGACAGCCCGGTGCGGGCCATGACCTGGTCCCACAACGACATGTGGATGCTGACGGCGGACCACAGCGGCTACGTCAAGTACTGGCAGTCCAACATGAACAACGTCAAGATGTTCCAGGCTCACAAGGAGGCCATCAGAGAAGCCAGGTTTGCTCCTGCTGTCTGCAGCTCCGGCCACCAGGGGGCGCTGCTGCTGGATCTGTGCATCATGAGCCGTGTGTGTTCTGAATAAAACCAACCTGTTTCTACGTCGGGCCGGCCCGTTGATCAATAAAGTTCTGGTCTGTGACCCAGCAGCAGCCGCTCAGGTCCAAGTGAAGCGTTCACTTCCTGAACACAGAACAGTGGCACTACGTCTCCCATGATGCAGCTGGACAGAAGCTCCGCCCCCTGGCTGCCATCACAAACCTTTAACCGCCAGCTTTCTAACAGATCCAAACAGTTCTGACTGATCAGAACCAGAACCAGGCTGATTAACCTACATGTTGAGCGGAAAGACGCCTGAAGGTTTCTGCTGGTTTTGAATCCCTGACCCGGGTCTGTTCCCAGCAGAACCAGGTCGGTTCCATCGGTCCTGAAATCCAGACCTTCTAAACCCACTGGACCGTTTCTGGTTACAGTTTCACATGTTTTAGTCCAGGTTCTCCAGAACCACCAGCCATATCTGTCTGCTGGTTCTGTTGGACCCTTCTCGGCTTTGTAACTGCAGAACCGGTCCAGTTAACGACGGCCGGTTCTGATGGGCCGTTGGTTAATCGCCATGGAAATAGCTTCAGATAAAGGACCCAGCTCTCAACCGGGTCGCACAGAACCAGACCTGCAGTCATCCCTGAGCTGCTTCAGGAACTGAGAAAAACAGGAAGTCGGGTCGGTTCTGGAACCAGGATGTGACCCGGTGGTTTGTCATGCAGGACCCAGAACCAGCTAGATGTTCTGTTAACCAACTGGGCCGGGCCAGGTCGGTTCTGAAGGTTTCCTTCAGAGGTTGTGATGATCCAATTGGTTCAGAACCTTCAGCACATCCAGGACTGCAGGGTTCGGTTCTACCGACTGAAATGGGTCCAGATCTCCACAGAGGTTCATCTACACAACTGGTCCAGAACCACAGGTTCTGATTGGAAGATTGGTTGTGGCGGATATAAAGCCCATCCAGAACCGGCTCTGGACCGGCTTTAGGTCCACCAGAACCGGCCAGCTGTGTGACTCCTCTTCCTCCTCTTCGTCCTCAGCTTCTCTCCCACTGACAACAAGTTCGCCACCTGCTCCGATGACGGCACCGTCCGGATCTGGGACTTCCTGCGCTGCCACGAGGAGCGGATCCTTCGAGGTACCGGATCCGGATCCGTCAGAACCGATCCGGACCGCAGCAGAACCTCTGACGGTGTGCTGTGGTTGTGCAGGTCATGGCGCCGACGTGAAGTGCGTGGACTGGCACCCCACCAAGGGGCTGGTGGTGTCCGGCAGCAAGGACAGCCAGCAGCCCATCAAGTTCTGGGACCCCAAGACGGGTCAGAGCCTGGCCACGCTGTGAGTACCACGCCCATCAGAACCCGACCGCGGCGCCCGCAGAACCTCACCGCCACACCTGTCCCTCCCCAGCCACGCCCACAAGAACACGGTGATGGAGGTGAAGTGGAACCTGAACGGGAACTGGCTGCTGACGGCGTCCCGCGACCACCTCTGCAAACTCTTCGACATCCGGAACCTGAAGGAGGAGCTGCAGGTGTTCCGGGGCCACAAGAAGGAGGCCACAGGTGAGGCGGTACCAGGACCGGTTCCCCTGAGACCTTCAGGTCAACCAGAGAACCAGACCTGCAGACTGGTCTACAACCACGACCTCTGACCTCTGCTGTTGTGTCCTCAGCGGTCGCCTGGCACCCGGTCCATGAGGGTTTGTTCGCCAGCGGAGGCTCCGACGGGTCGCTGCTGTTCTGGCACGCCGGGTAAGAAGCTGATCAGAACCAGACGGTGTCGGTAACGGCCGTGTTGGTACTGCGACCCGGTGACCCGGTACCGTGACTGTCTGCAGGGTGGAGAAGGAGGTGGGCGGCATGGAGATGGCCCATGAAGGGATGATCTGGAGTCTGGCCTGGCACCCTCTGGGTCACATCCTGTGTTCTGGTTCCAACGACCACACCAGGTATGGATCCGCACTGGTACCGGTACATGACCCGCACAGAACCAGTACCAGGCAGGAATTCCATATGCTGTTTCTGGTTCTGTTCTACAGTAAGTTCTGGACCAGGAACCGACCCGGGGACAAGATGAGAGACCGGTACAACCTGAACCTGCTTCCCGGGATGTCGGAGGACGGCGTGGAGTACGGTAAGCTGCAGAGGCCAAGCAGAACCAGAACCTCTAGGTCTCAGTATCTGCAGCAGAAAGTTCTGTTTTTGTCCAGATGATGTGGAACCCAACAGCCTGGCTACCATTCCTGGGATGGGCATCCCGGAGCAGCTGAAGGCGGCCATGGAGCAGGAGCAGAGCAGTAAGTTCTGGAGAACCGGACCGGTGTGAAGGTCTCAGGTGTTCGTCTGAGCTCTCAGGTTTTCCTCTGGTGCTGCCTCACCTGCAGGTAAAGAGGCGGCTGCCGAGGTGGAGATGTCCATCCCTGGACTGGACTGGGGCATGGACGAGGTGATGGGACGGGACTCCAAGAAGGTTCCTCAGAAGAAGGTTCCTTACGCCAAACCGATCCCGGCGCAGTTCCAGCAGGTACGCGCCCACACCTGATCCAGAGGAGGTGATGTCATGTAACCGTGGAGACCGACTGTCGGATGTCTGTCTGCAGGCTTGGGCGGAGAACAAAGTTCCCATGATGCCCCCGTCTGCAGATCTGTCAAAGGACCGGAACCTGGAGCAGAAGGTGGAGGGGAAGAAGAAGACCCAGGCGGAGCTGGAGCAGGAGATGGCGGCGCTGCAGTACACCAACCCCCACCTGCTGGAGGTAAGCACAGTCTACCAGAACGGATCAGAACCAGCTCTGGGCTTTAGCAGAAGCAGAACCGGCCCATCATCAGAGGCCAACAGAATCTCATTAGCATTAGCAGCTCTGAATCTGTCCAGGCTGTTCCTCTCCTGAAGGATTTTAGCTCAGAATGGAAGATTAGATCTATAGATCTATAATTTATTCATCCATCTTGGTCCAGCGTGAAACTAGATCTACATTAGAAGGCCTTCAGCAGGTCCAGAGTCCGACCGCCGCTGGTCGGAGTGAGTCTGTCGTGCTAACAGAGGCTAAGCTAGCATTAGCGGCTAGCTTCAGGCTATCAGAGTAAATCGGGCGGCTTCAGAACCAGCAAAGGTTCTAGGATCCAGCGGTTCTGACTTGGTTCTGTTTGTCTGCAGCAAATGAAGATGAGCCAGATGAACTCGGATGGAAACATGGGCCCCCCCCAGGGACCGGGCTCCATGCCCCCCTTTCCGGGCCCCGGGGGGCCGGGCCCTCCTGGCCAGCAGGGCTACGCTCCAAACATGCCTCACCAGCAGATGGCGCCCCCCATGGGCCCCGCAGGGATGCAGCAGCCCTTTATGCAGCCTGGACAGATGGGGCCTCCTTCTGGACCCCCATCTCATCAGGGGCCCCCTCAAGGCATGGTGGGCCCCTCAGACATGCAAGAACCACAGAGACATCCTGGCCCACCAAGACACATGGGCCCCCCAGGACCTCATGGGATGGGGCCCAGAGGCATGCAGGGGCCCCCTGGTGGGATGATGGGGCATCCTCCTCGAGGAATTGGTTTAAGGGACCCTCAAGGGCCCCCGCCCCAAGGGAACATGATTAGTCCCCAGGGCCAAATGCAGGGTGGAATGATGGGGCCCCCACCCAGGACACACGGCAACATGCCTAATAACTATGGGATGGGCAACATGCAGGGGCCCCAAGGAGGCATGCAGGGGCCCCCGTACATGCAGCACCAGGTGAGTGAGGGGTGTGGTGGGGCCCATCTGGCTGCAGGACTGCATGCAAACTAACGGCTTTGTTATCTGCAGGGCCAGAACTCAGGACCCATGATGCATGGGATGGGGCCCCAGGGCCCCAACAACAAAGGTCAGTAGATGTGGGGTCCCTCAGGAGTCTTTACCAGATGTTTGTGTTCTTCATGGTGGTGCCTGTTTTTCCAGGAGACCATCGAGGGCCGCCCCCGAACCACCACATGGGTCCCACAGACCGGCAGGGACCCGGGGGGCCCGGAGGCCCGGGGGGACCTGACCAAGGCTCTTACTGGGGAGACGGCCAGCAGGGCCGGAGGGGCCCCCAGGATGGAGGACAGGACTTCCACAACCGGGGGGAGGACAGCTGGAGGCCGGGGTACCAGGGGGGGGGGCACCGGGGGGGAGGGC